TATATATATATATATTATAACTATTAAATTTTTAATGGGAGAAACTAAAATTGTATAATTATGATATTTGAAAGACTAAAATTGTTCAATTAAAATTTGAAGGACCAAAATCACACAATTGCAATTCTGTAAGGACTAAAATTATGCAATTAAAACCTTGGGGATCAAAATTGCACAATTACAATACTTGGAAGATCAAAAACACAATTAAGCCTAAAAAAATTTTAAAAAATCATTTGATACTTCATTTTATTAATTTAAAATGACAAATAATCATAAAATTATTTTATACTTTGATTTAAATTAATGAAATGAAGCATCAAATAGTCTTTAAATTTTTAAAAATTTTGCAGACTTAATCTATACATTAAAAACTTTAAATTCAACAATTGGATCGTTAAAATTTGATGTAGAACATAAATTATTGAACGGAGTAAATCTTGATAGACTTACTCTCGGAGTAAACATATTCCTCCTCTTTCTCTCTCTCTCTCTCTTTGTATATATAATGTTGGTCCAATAAAGGATAATGAAAACTCTATTTGGTTAACAAACTATAAGAAGATTGTAGCATCCAATATACCTAATCAGACAAACAATCCATACTTTTTTTTGCTCATATGAAGATAGATACTAAAGTACTCGAGATACTTGATTGAGGAAAAATCATAAAGCTAAGAGTAAATGTTAGAGATGTAAAAGTGACTCAAATTTTGTGGGTCAACCAAGCTCACTACGAGTTTGAGCTAGATTGAGTTAGAAAAATGTTACTGATTTTGACTAAATTTCAACCCGATTCACTTAACTTAGGAGTTAAATGAGTTCGAGATGAAGTGAGTCAGATTAACCCATTTAACCTACTACATTAAAAAAATATAAATTTATATATTTATATTTTATTTAGTTATCGGTAGAAATTATGATTAATAATTTATTTATTAAAAACATGAATATGTAACTAATTTATGGTTTAAATATGATTTTAGTTTCTCAAATTTAAGGTAATTTATTTTCGAGTCCTCAAATTTAAAACTAATTTTTTTTAGTTCTTTTCATTTTTAAAACTTTTGTTTTAATCCCTCAAATCAATAATAACATATTTGATGGTGGCAAATTGATATAATTATGTAGCATCAATTGGATTTCATGTGATATTTTCACTGATATGGCTACTTGTAGATAGATTTCGTGGAACAATATTTGATAGATTTTCTAACAAAATTTGAGTATAAGGACTAAAACAAAAACTTTTGAAATTACACGGACTAACAAAATTAGTTTTAAATTTGAGGGACTAAAAATAAATTTATCTTAAATTTGAGATACTAAAAATATATTTTAATTTTAATTTTTTTTATATTTTATAATTTAATAATTTAAAAAAAAATTGTTAGCCAACCCACCTAACCCACCAACTAGGGATGACAAATAAATTTGTATCCGTGAGTAATTTTCAAACTCATCCCAACTTTGATAAAGAATACCCGATTTAACTAAGCACGAATATGGATATGAGTAAGACCTGATTCATTAAATTGGTACGAGAATGAAGATACGTATATACATAACCGTCCCGTACCCGCTTAAAATTTATAAATATAGTTTTTTTAGAATTTACTCAAAATGTATGTAACTTTTTACCCTATTTTTAATTTATATCAAATAAAATTTAATTAATTTTGACAAAACTAAATATGGATATATTATAAAAACTTCAAAGAGATACTTATAATATGTCCAAACTGCGATGTTAGGTTTTTCCTAAACAAGCAAACTTAGTTGCCCACAAGTTAGAAGGGCTACTGAAGATCAAGTTATTGGTCTGATTGATTTTCATTACATCCTGCATTGTATTGTATACCAAATTTTCAATGATATGAGTTTATTTTTTTTAATAAAAATAATAATAATAATAACATCATCATCAACAATCAACAATAATAAGAATAATAATAAAAAATATAATAAAAATAATCTATAACATATATAAAAGCGATAACTTGATTTAGTAAGATCAAATGCATTATTAATTAATGTAATAAATATAAATACTTTTTAAACACTTTTATTAAATAAAATATAAAGATAAGGAGTCTCTTAACCCCATTAATTACAATAATAATAATAATAATAATAATAATAATAATAATAATAATAATAATAATAATAATAGCAAGAATAATAACAATAATAAAATAATAATAATAACATCAATAATAAGAATAACAATATCAATAATAACAATAACAACTATAAGGATTAATAGGATGAATTAGTTTCATGTTTGTTAAATAAAAAAATTTATTATGAGAGATAAGAGTGTTAAAATATAACCCTTAGATTAATTTTACGAATCTCCAAATTTCAGCATATTAAATGAGAAAAAATTAATCTAAAAGTTATATTTTAACCTTTTTATCTTTCATAATAAATTTTCTTTCACTTGATATGCTTCCTATATATATATAAAACAAAAAAGCAAAACCAACTATAATAACAATAGTAATAATAATGAAGTAGTTAGTATAGGCAACAAATGACGCAATAGTTACATACATTGGGCCTATGTAAGTAAAAAAGAAAAGAGTTGAGATGGGCCTGGATTACGCAATAATCTTATTTCTTTGTTGTACCTCTTCATCTCCAATTCCAATTAGGTCTCAGAAACAAAAACTTTCAACACTGTAGTAGCTGATCCTTATACCCACAATCCCAAATTCAATTCACTCTAACAACACCGGATCTAACCCTTTGTCTCTCTAGGATCCCAGGTACTTGGGAATCTTCTTGTTTCTTTCTTCTTACTTCACTGGTTTTTGTTTTTCATTCACTTAAGTTTTACTGTGTGTGAGTCTCATTCCTCAAAAATTTCAATTCTGCTACGATTCCCAAACCCCTTTCACTACTTGAGTATTCTTACTCTGATTGTTACATTCAAGGTTTTTTTTTCTTCTTTTTTTTTTTTTTTTTTTTTTTTC